GACGTCTTCTGAGAGTTATTTGTGTTTTTCTTTAACTGACATTCGTTGTTTTTGATTTTGTGTATTTGACTTCAATAGTGTGAAAATTATAAAAAGAAATTCCTACTATAAAACTGCTGTATTTGGTGTAGAATTTAAGATGACAACAACTTGAGCGACTCAAAGACATTATGTGGTAAAAACAGTGTAGTTTTTAATCACATAGAGACAGGACTCTTGTGTTTCTGACCCAGTAAAACCAGTGTCGGAGCTGGGTATAAATCCCACTGTGAAATGTCCTGGTCTTTTTATGGACAGCGGTTTTTAAATTGGACTAAAAAATTATCCGTGTGGTTAATTCCAGCTCCTTCTCACAGAGGCTGTTATCCAAGGTCAAGTCCTGCCTGTCCTAACGACGTTAAAAGGATTTTACACACTTTTATCTTACGCAGGCTCGACAGTTCACTTCACAGTATGTAGACCTTCGTCAGACTCTTTCTCAGGCTAGTAATTAGTCACAACAACTTATCTTTTAACAGAAACAGAAACACGAGTACACAGTTCTGACATGTTGGCTTCTCTTTGCTAAGTTCACCTTAATAAAAATAATAAATACATTTAAAAATAACAGTAAATAGATAGGTTTAATGTTATTGTGCCAGGTCATTTTCAAGCACCTGCAGAAAATAGTCGAAGTAGTCGAAGCAGGGCTTAATTTGCTTGTAAGTTTAGCTAGCTAGCTAAAGCTAAAGGAGAATTTACCAGTGCACTTTTGTTTATCCTGTGTTTTTGTTGCACTGTGTTGTCTCGGATGTCAGTCTGTTCCCACACACTCCCAACGTTAACACAGTGTTTTCTTTATATATAGAGGAATCTCTGTTCCTTCACTTTTAAAAATGAAAAACCAACTCCTGAAACTCACTTTTACACTGGCTCTGAATGCAGAATGCAGCTGTCAGGATTTGTTTCACTGACTTCTAAAGAAAGGAGGCTCACATCTTTATGTATGCATCACAGAGGGACGGCAATCTGTATGCACTCGCTGGTACCGATTGTTCACAAGACTCATTTCCAATTTGATACAAGTACTCATTCACTCCCCCATTCAAGAGCCTGCAGATATAGATTTGCTGTTGAGTGTCTGTTTTGTTCTGAGGAACCCAGGGTGTAACTCAATTTACCACCAGGTTTCATGATGATTGATGGATTATTTCAGTTCATACTCAATGGAGGCTGAGGGTGAGTGACAACCACTCAATTGCACTTCATTGTGCATAAGAGAGCAGGGATAGGCGATCCATTTCTCGCCTCATTTCCGTGTCATGTACGTGTCAATAAAAGCGCCGTATGGACTCTAATTGACATCAGCATCACACCGCTCTCTCAAAACCCTCTGATCTGACCTGACAAATTCTGACCACTTTAAGAATCTACTTGTCTACATTCGACTCCAGAGCCGTGGAGGAGGGTCATGGAGATCCGTGGAAGAGGAAATCGTTCTGCATTAGGTTTCCAGGAGACAGCACTGGGTGGTGTTGGACCGAGGGATGCAAAGCTGAGGTGAAGAACGGCAGCCCCCAGAGCCAGTCTGTCATTCTATGAAGGGGAATGACGTGGTGAGGGGGGGTGTCAGGGGAGGACTGAAGGTCAAATGGAAGATGGATGGATGAATAGATGGATGGGTATATTGATGGAGAGATGGACTGATGGGTGGATGGATGACTGGTTGAATCGGTAAATGTATGTGGGATGAATGGAAGGATGGATCGGTCGATGGATGAATGGATTATTGGGTGTGTCTTGAAGGATGGATGATTGGTCAAATGGGTGGATGTATGTTGGATGGCTAGAGGGATGGATGCCTGGATGGATTGATGTAATAATGTAAATATGGGTGAAGGGATGATCGGTTAATGGACACAATGTGTGATGTGTGGATGGATGAACAGGTGGATGGGTGATTGATGGATGCATAGATGGATAGTCTGTTGGATGAATAGTAGATATATCTTTGATGGAAGGATGATAGGTTGAATGGGAGGATGTATGTTGGATGATAGATGGATGAACATGGTGGATGAAGGGGTGGGTCGAGGGATTGTTGGATATAAGAAACCATAGATGGATGGTCTGTTGGATGGATGGATGGATGGTCCTGACCAGGCAAAGATAATGATGTGAATGTGTTCAAGAAAAACCACCATCAAGGAAATGCTTTTTTTTTTTTTTTTTTTTGCTGCAGATCGTGAAGACAAATAGAAAGGATTGGAGGACAAATTAACCTGTAAGGAGAAACAGAAATTGTAAAAAGAAGTGGGTGTTATTATAGCGGTGGTGTAACAGACTCTACTGTCCAACAGCTCTGCATTTTGTCTTCTGAGAGTTGCCTTAATAAAGCACTGCCACTCAGGATAAGCAGCAGTCTATCCCATCATTACTCTCCCTTTATCCCTCGTTCCTCCTCCTATTCCTGTTCCTCCCTCCTACACTCTTTGTCTCCTCCACAGCCTTTACTTCTCTATGTGCCTCTTCTCCTCGTATTAGTACATTCTAATCCTCACCTCTCTTTGTGTCACTCCTTTCCTGTCACTCAAAATGTCTCTGTAAGGCAGAGCGGTACGCCGCCCCAAAATAACTGCTCCTCTGTGACTTTGACCTCTCCGGAAAATACACAAAGATCGCTTTGTGTTGTGGTTTTTATTAATCCTGAGCAGAGTGGGGGAAAAAAACATTGTGACATCTGTGATTCAGCAAAAAAGAAGCCTCGTGATTCGCTCCAGGTGTAGCTTTTCGAGCTGGGTTTGTCATTTTTTTAAAATTTAATTAGAAAAGATGATCTTTTGGTGTAATTTAAAGAAGATGATTAAAAGAGAGAGAGAGTTCTGAAAGTATGCAGTATTTGTTTACTCACATAAATCTGGTATTAGAGTGGGAGTTGCAACAACAGCATTAAGTTTCACACTCACTAAAACATCTCAGCTGTTTGAGAGTTGATTTGACAGAAGCCTGAGAGGCTTCATGCCATTACGGCAGGATGGCTGACAGGTTGGTCTCGGATGAAAAAAGAAGGAAATGAAAATTCTCTTTGTTGAGGATGTTACCTTCCGCTGTTACCTGGAGAGTCGAGCTTTTAAAATACATGAATGAACCTGGCTGAAAATAACCCACCTGCATATTTTTAGAGTGACTTCTCATCAGTGTATTTTATAAATAGTTCCTAGCCTCTAATTTTTAATGCCAACACCCACATTATTAGTAGAAAGGGGACAATTACAACGAATTAAATTAGATTTTTTTTTCTAAATTCACCTTGAGGAGCGGTTTCCCCCAAAATACATGACATTTACAGTCACTGAATGCACTGTATATTCATTCTCCACTTTAGTTCTTAATGATAGACCATTGATTACAGCCTCACATTTTAAAGTCTGCAACACTAAATGGGGCAGATTTCTTTTTCTTTCTTTTTTTTCAGATTGATTTGAAAATAGAAATTCCAGTAATTTTCAAACAGAACGAAACCTGAGCTGTGGGATATTTGATCAACGGATAATCTGAAATTCTATTAAAAGGCTGAGGACTCATTAGCCAATAGATCTTAATCCCATTACTGCCTGGTTGGTGGGGGACCACGAGCCCTTCTGCCTGTCTCCCAGTGGGGGATACAGTTTCAGGCAGTGGTGGAGAAGGTCAGACATGGCACAGTGCCATTTTCATAATGAGAGCGGAGCATCATGCATCATGCACAATCATAAAAAAGCCATCATTGGCTACGCAGGCACATTTAATCACAGTGCATGTCTGGGCCCAGCATATTTAGCCCTACTGTGTAATAGCAGGATTTATGACCCTTCTCATCAGGGACTGGCTCTTTGTTTAATTAAATATAAGCTGTAATATCAGAGCGATCTGTTTCTCTGGCCCGGAAGATTCCTATTGTGGAAAATCTAGTTGTATTGTTTGGGGTTGACGTCTGCAGAGAGCATGCAGGGGGGAATAAAAAGGTTGAAATGCTGTTAAAATGAAACAACATCAACATCATGGTGGGGGAGAGGATGAAGACAAAGAGGAGACAGTCGGGGCATGTCATCCATGTTTGGTACTAAAGATCTGAAACAGGAGGCAGAGTCAGGGATTTGGAGTGGAGAGGAGTGGAAACAAACATCTGCTCCATCTATTCACAACCACCCACAGGCTGTGGCAGAAGGTGTTTCAAAGCCCGAGCTTCTCCACAACTCGTTTTATATCATAAAAAAGAAAGGAAACAAACCAACCAAAAAATGTCTGTGTGAGATTTCATCCGTGTGCCTGTGTTTGTTGGAGGCCAAATGTGTCAAATAATCTTGCTGCTTGATGAAAACAGAAGTATGTTCCATGTCGTACAGTGAAAACAGATTTATTAGATTTCAAAGCTAATGCTGACACGTGTCTTAATGCAGAGGTCTTTGTCTGATGTCCGATCAATGTAGGGAGTGAAAACTGGATTGGCCACCATTTGACACGTTTCATCAGTTATGTGTACTGTTCAAGAATAGAGCAAGTGGGTATTTTTGAAACTGAAGCAGTGCTAATTATATCTCTCTTCTTCTCCCCTCTCCACTCCTCTGTTCTCCTTTCCTCTTCTATTCAATCCACTCCTCTCCTCTTTTTCTATTTTCTCCTCTTTTCTCCTCTCCCTTTTTCTCCTCTTCTCTCTTTACTCCACCATTTTTCTCTATTTTCCTATCCTCTCTGATCATCCAACTCCACTCCTCTTTACTCCACTCTTCTTTTTCCCTCCCCTCTCGTTCCCTCTTCTGAGTTCTCCTCTCCTCCCCTCCCCTCTCCTCCCCTCTCCTCTCCTCTCCTCTCCTCTTCTCTCCTCTCCTCTCCTCTCCTCTCCTCTCCTCTTCTCTCCTCTCCTCTCCTCTCCTCTCCTCTCCTCCCCTCCCCTCTCCTCTCCTCTCCTCTCCTCTTCTCTCCTCTCCTCTCCTCTCCTCTCCTCTTTTCTGTTCTCCCACTCTCTGTCTTTCTATTCTCAGATATTGATGAGTGTGCAGATGGCTTTGTGGAGTGTGATAGTAAATCCACTTGTGTCAACTTGCCCGGCTGGTACCACTGTGAGTGCCGGGATGGCTACCATGACAACGGCTTGTTTTCTGCCAATGGGGAATCATGTGTTGGTGAGTGGACTGCCACTGATATTTTAAAAATGCCAAAAAATGTTTAGTTGACATTAAGTCTGAACAGATTTTACAGAGAGAAAAAAAGTCATTCTAAACCTTGAAGGATTAACCAAAAAAAAAAAGTCAGGCTCAAAATATCAATATTTCATTCTATTTTTCTTCAGAATTGTCGGTTTTCTCTAGTATTTAAAGAAACGTTGTCATTACTGAAACATTGTACCTACGCTTGTTATTTTTCTACAACAATAGAGCGAGTACTTCCCAACTAGTTGACCCTTTTCCTGACTCTGAAAGTTAAATAGATATTTTCAAGGCCCGTCTATATCTCACAGAGCAACGTGAGAATTTGCCCAAAACTAGGTTTCTGGGCTGCATTGCCGATGTGAACAATTTGGAAAGAAGATCTGGAAAATGCCTCACTGTTGCAGGTTACTGCCGTGTGTGAAGCTGGAGTTCAGTGAGTCACAGAGTCAGGAAAAAGAACTCTGTGGCTTCATCACCAAAACTCCTGCATGAAAAGTATAATTTGTCCCGAACCTTCGTGTGAGTCTTCGTTTCTTTTAATTACACAGACATTAACGAATGCAAGACAGGAAGAAACACCTGCGCCAACGACACTGTGTGCTTCAACCTGGACGGGGGCTACGACTGCCGATGCCCACATGGACACAACTGCACTGGCGACTGTATCCATGACAACAAGGTCAAACACAGTGGGCAGATCTGGGTTCTGGACAGCGATCGTTGCTCCGTCTGCTCCTGTCAGGTAGGGAGCGCTGATGTAGAGTCTGTTCAAAGAAAGTCGAGAGGAGAGAGTGAGAGTGAAAAATATGTTGTGATGGAGAAAAACGTGGAAGTGTACAATGATCAAAAAGGACAGAAAAACAGATTGGAACTGAAATAGAAATTCAACGCTCTGCAGCATCACATAAGGGTTTAAAGATTAATTATTTTCTTTTTAGGTTTTGTGTCTTTCATATACGGTCAAAGCTTCTCTGATGAGAACATGTTCTGAAGATACAAAAAAAGTAAAAGAACAGATTTAATCAGAATAACAAGTATGATGATGCAGAGATTTTTACTGCAAACTCTACACTCACATCAGTAATGACACACATTCAGACTCATCTTAAAACAGTTCTTCTTTGTCAGAGTCACTTTGTGTCCATGTGATACACCAACATCATTGGGTAAAGTGTCCACCGTCCAATGTTTGTTGGAAGCCGACAGCTTAAGTTACATTGATGAAGGTTGCAGTAAAAATGAGTTAAAGCAGGTGAAAAATACCAGCTGTGAATAATGATGGTAACGAGCATTCAAATGAACCAAACTGGTCATTAAAACGACCTCCTGCCATGTAATGTTCAACTGAAGTCAGGAGAACAGTTGATCTACATGGAGTAGGATATTGACAACTCCTGATTTTTACAGGTCAACTATTCTGACGATAGTCATAGTCGAGTCAACAAGTCGTTTTGTGTTATCATTATCATTGGTTTATCAGCTCCCAGTCCAATGTTCGCATCTCAAGTCACCTTTTTACTCCTGGCTCTGCGACAGTGTCTGCAAACAGTCACCTGAAGAAAGTCACTCCATCATTTCACTTTTTCTCTCCTGAATGTCAGGTCACAGACCAGTCACACTGCACTGCTGTGTCTTCTCTGTCTAATGCTCGGTGTCTGGCAGTAGTGGAAGGTGATTATAGTGGATTAGTGTCGGTGCGGAATGATGAAGCGGCAAATTATTCATTTGATTACAAAGGATTCGGGCAGAAATGGTCGGCTAATTAAATGACTCATATTAATTGATTGAGGAGATTAAACGAGCTGCCTGTCAAAATTAGTTGTATTGAGCGGGTGCGAGGGAGCAGAGGAGTAAACATGTTATTGTTTTTGGAGACGTGAGCAGGCATGGCTGATTGTCTGGAGGACGGTTGCCCAAATACCAAATATGTGAAAACCAAGGTCAAACGTGATTGAAGTGACAAGTCCTGCGTGTTGTTCACTTAAAGGTCGTGCAGTATTGAATTGGTTGTTGTTCCAGTGTGTAACACAAATCATGTGAACTTTTACCTGTCAAGAAATGTATCATAGAAATATGTTGATAAATTCAATAAAGTGAATATTTAAAAAAAATTATTATAGAGGAACTCTTTAAAGGATACCACAAATTAGGGAGACAAGTGCAGACGTAGAAGGGAAGTACAGGAAAGTGCTAGGACAGGAGGTATTCTCTGAAGAGCTGGGTCTTCGTGACGCCCCTGTTTTGGCAGTTCTTGGTAGCTCATTTCACCTGCATGGAACGAACCACGAGAAGAGCCTATTGCGAGATGTTGGGAGTGTCAGACAATATTCCCTAGATGAGTGGAATGGCCGTGGGGTAACATAAGCCTTGCCTTACAGTGGTGGTTCATAAAATCTCTGTACAGCACCCTCGTTTTATTATTTTTATTGTCTTCTACTATTTAGTGTGAAAAAAACATTCATACATCCATACATTCATATGTATGCGGTGTGACTGTAATGACCAAACGCCTTCAGTGGAGGGCGTCGTAAACAGAGAACCTCCTTTACTTTATGCTTTCACTCAGGGTCAGTAGCGCTGCCATGTTATGGAGTCTGTGTTTGGATTTACAGTGTTCCTCTTCTCATGTGCAAATCACCTTAACTCCCAGGGACTACAGAGGACTAGTAATGAGTAATAGTCCAGTACTCAGTACTAATGACCAGATACACATTATACATTACATGGTGAATATTGTGAAGCCCATCTTTAAAGCAGCAGCCAGTGATGGGCTGCTTTGCTTTGTTCTTTACAGTATTCACCGTGCACATACATATTTAATGACGCCATTAAATGAATGGCCTTGTGCAGATCTGCGCACCCTCCTGTGGTTAATCTTTAATTATGCTCTTATGATTTGTGCTTCATTCTCAGGCTGGGCAAGTCATGTGCCGCAGGATGGTTTGCGACTGCGACAATCCCAACGCTGACCTCTTCTGTTGCCCAGAGTGTGACCCTCGACTGAGCAGCCAGTGTCTGCACCAGAACGGCCTGCTCACCTACAGCAGCGGCGACACGTGGGTGGAGAACTGCCAGCAGTGCCAGTGTCTGGTAGGTTTGGATTTGACTGTGAACATGCCTTTAAATCTCAGTCTCAATCTCAAAACATAAATCTTAGGAATTTAGTCAAAGCTTCCATCGAGAGTCCTTAAAAAGACCCGGCATTCACTGATTGACACAAAACACATTTTCAAACACACTGGTTTCCATGGAAATGTTAAAATCAAAATTAATTCCCGACGTCAAGACATTCTCTGGTAAAGAATGTCAAGGACAAGATTTTTGTATTCAGTTAAATGGAATGATTATGAGTTTTACAGTGAGTAGTTAGATTGAAAAGAACCTCTTTGTTGTTGTCTCCATTGATGGGATGAATTTTTACCCAAAGTGAATGTCCAAGGCCAGAAGAGTGGGAGTCTTCTGTGTACTAACTATGTGAAAGAAAAAAACTCAGATTCCTCTCAGCTAATCAGCAGGTGTTAGGTTCTCCTGTGCTGATCAGGAGTCATCAGGTTCACCTGTGTTCTGCTGCAGCTGCAGTCAATCAGCTCTGCTGCAGGGAAGATAAAAGCTGCCCAAACAGTTCAGTTCAGTTTTTGGCTCTGGGGAGAAATGTTCTGTGGGTTTCTTGTTGAGGCTGGGATTGTGGTTGGGCTAAAAATGTCTTTGTTTTCACTTGAAGTTGTTTTTCTGTTTCTTTTTTTTTTCCTTTGTTTTTTTTTTTTTTTTTAAAGAGTTCACTCTCTGTCCACTGGCTACCTGTTTCTGCTCATTTAATGTCTTTTTTTTCTACTTCCCAAAACAATTGCCCTTTTTTTCAAAGGATTCAGGAGAGATTTTTTTTAAAAAGAAAAACACCATATGCTACTATGAAACATTTGACTGTCAGGCAGAGGCACAGGTGCACAGATCCTCTGTCATGTCAGTAACTGTTTACACTGTGCTTTGATACACTGCTGCTGCTCTGACAAGGAGGAAGTGTTTCCTTATCAACTTGACACAAACACTAAATCTCTGTACCAGTGATTACTTTACAGCTCTGTGCATATTCAATTCACCAGCACTGCTCCAATGGGAAATGAACAGGGTTTTTCTTTTCTTTTTTTTTTTCCTGTTCTTCTGTGAAAATGTTTGCGGGCGTTTTTGATCGTTTCTGCTACACTTGTATCTCAAATGAACTTAAACAGATCTGTCAGTCCCATGAGAAGCAATTAGTCAAGGGTGGACTATTATAACAATCACTATAAGAACACAGCGTCATTCCCAGCCAAGCAAAGTGCACAGAGAGCTACAGTATAAAAAACACGTGTATTACTTTACACTCAACATCAGGAAGAAAGAATCAAGTATTGAAATTAAAATAAACGCCTGTGATATCGAGTGCTTCTCAATGTCCATTGGCTTAAAAGGCAAGATAAAGAAGATCTAACATTTGTTAGCATTCATGCTGCTGCTTACGCGTCACAACATGCGCAAACAAGACATTTCTGAGCTGACGTTTCATATCTTATAGTCTGTCTTTCTTTTAGCTAGATTTAGCTATCACTTTTCCAAGTTGAAGCTCTTTAGCTTTCTAGAACACATCACCATTCCCCAACATTGTACATTGATTTTAATGAAGCCACCTCATGGAACTCTACCTTTTCCAAACGGATTGTGTCAAATGAACCAAATGAACATTAATATCCGGTGTCACTTTTTGCAGAGAGATGTCAACCAAAGCCTCTGTTAATGTTTGTCCCCACAAGTTTCTATGCTCTCTAGTAGAAACCACATTTAGATTTTAACAGGTCACGGCCCACCGGTGTCTCAACCTTCTGTGCGGAGGTGAGAGTGAACTTTCAGGCAGAGCTTGAACAATGTGGAGGTGTTTTTTTTGGCCTCATCTATTCTATTTGTTGCTCTCAGTCACACTGGCAGTGAAAAGTTGACTCCAGTCTTAAAAAAGATGTGGTCTGAGCAGCAACAGAAATGACATTTCTGTCCACCCCTGCTGTCTTCGTCACGCAGCCCCAGCGTCTGAGGCTGGAGATTCTTAACAGCAAACCAAGATAGAAGAGCTTGAAATTTATTGCCCAGCCGAGAGGCGGTGGGGAAGCACAGTCGGCCGAGAATGGATTCCTTCAGCTTCACTCTCCTTGAGCTTCTGCTTCCTGTAAAGTCTTATTTACTCCATGTTTGGAACAAACACGGATGAAAAAAAAACATCAGAGAAACGGGGACCTGCTCTTTACTGCAGTAAATCATACTCAATAATACACACACACACACACATACATTCATGTATAAGATGTGTCTCCACACATATACCTATGTTGGTATCTGCTCTTCAGTTGCTGGTTGTGAATCCACACATAATGAAAATAATAAATTTACAGTATTTAGTGTAACGTCGTTCGCAGAAATAAAATTGAAAGTGGTTCACAATAAAACTAAGAAGGGGAAAACACGCTCCGGGTGAAAACAAGGCGATAAAACAGTAAAAGCAATAAAAACACGATTACAAATATTGACCGTAAAATTTAAAAGGAAAATACTCGAAACAAACACAAAGTGCTTAACGTGCTAAAAATGCTTTCTAAAAATATTGTGTGGGATTTTTATATATATATATACATTCTGAAGCTACGGGCTCACTTAGCCAAATATGCTGTATTGCTAATCCTAGCCAAATAGACATGGTTTTTGGTGTCTTACCATATCAGTTTGACAGCCAGTTTCTGCGCCTTTACCTTTAAATGGTAATAAGCCACTATTAGCTCCACCCACCTCTCCCATGGGGAGAAGACCTAAAGACTCCTTCACATAACCATGACAACAGTTGGCTGCAGAGTCAAACAGGACCTGTGCACTGGGGTGTTTTTTTGTTTGTTTTGGGGTTTTTTTTTTGCGGTAGTGTATGCCGTTCTGTCGCTTATGGTGAACAGACAGGAAACCAGACAAGAAGAAGAAGACGCACCAACCCATGTGTTTATTAGTTTGTTACTCACCTGCTTTGTGATATCGAGAGTATCTGTGTCTGTAGTCACGTATCAAGTCAGCAGCGAGCCCCAAATTAAAGGCCGATCTGAACAAATTGTATTCACCGCCTTTAACTACTGCATGTTCCACTCCCATAATAAGTAATACAGGAGTCAAATGTGGAAAACAGCATTGGAGTTGTTCTACAGTATATGTAAACCAAGACCATTAAAAACACAAGCTGACAGAAACTGTCACCACTGTGTATAACCAGCAGCGCAACAAAGGCTGATGGGAAAAAAGGCTGCTGTTGTCCAATATTGAGCTGAGATTCCAGTGGCGTGAAATGAACCTTGAAAGCTTCTACAGTTAGCAGAGACATGATTGTCCAAGGCTGAAAACACAACGGTACCAAAGGTACGGGGACAAAAGGATTCTCCATAGAGCAAGATGAGTTTGTTTTCTCTAGTATGGCAGTGGTTTAAAACTAAATAAAGTCCGGACAGAACACGTTTCACCCCTCGTGGGGCCACTCTTGATTTGCTGTCTCATTAAACCACAGAATCAAAGAAATATGTAGAGTTTCTTAGAAATGTATGATGTAAGGTCAGGTTGAAGCATGAGAGAAATGTCACTGGGTTGTAATATCCTCCAGGCCTCTGGTAACATTCAAGAGTGAATCCTCCTGTGTCTACTTATTAAGGAAATATCAAGAGATCATGATAAATCGTGGACACTGGAGGCAATTCACCTTCGGAAGTATTGGAGAAAAGATGTGAGCTGGGGTTTTAATTTAACCTTAAGTCAACTGTGGGAAAGATAATTACTTCCCAATTAAACGTAAAATCATTACGTCATCTGCAAAGAGACAGATACAATGTCTCTAAAAACTGCAGGTACTTTTTGTTGTTGTTGTCATTTGCATCAGATGTTTACACACGGAGGCAGGAGAGTGGGCTTTACCACAGCTTGAGCCTGTGCTTTATAACCAGGTTCATTTACGGCAGCATTCAGAAATGCTGAGCCAGAGCTTTTTCGGCTATTTAATATTCCCAGGGGGACTTTTGCATCCAGCCTCTATTGTAACTATGTGTTTGTGCCTTGTTTTTTGCATCACCCTGGGTTTTTAAACAGAAAGTTTGAACTCATATTTCATCCCCTAATAAGGTACGAAGCACAAAATACTCGCAAATGAGAAAGGAGAAGTGGATGAGGTCAGGATGCTGTTGCATACGCTTAGTAGATCGTGCAAAGTTGGTCAGCGTATATTATACACCGGCGAAGGTCTGAGACGTATACAGTGTATATATCTGTATTTCTTAGAGCAGCAGAAAAGGCAGAAGGAAAAATCCAATAAAGCTTTCTGTGCTGAAAGTTTGCTGCGAGATTAATAAAGTACCAACAACAAGAAAAAAGCGAGGGAGCCGGTCAATTAAAAAGTATTTACCTTTAAGAAAAAAATGCTTACTGTGTTTTCCCTGCTCATCTATATTCACTTCCTTAATAACTTTTAAGTGCCCGCCCCCGCGTCACCGTGCAAATAAAAGGTTTCTGGAGAATTATGTTTAGATCAATTTTTATTGTCTTTGCCTTTTTCTGTCCGCCCACCATCAATGCGTCTTTTCTTCGTCCTCTCTGCTGTACAGCAGGGGCAGGTGGACTGCTGGCCTCTGCCGTGTCCACCTGTGGACTGCGAGTTCACTGTGGTGCCTGAGGGCGAGTGCTGTCCCCGCTGTGTCACTGACCCCTGTCTGGCTGACACCATCCGCAACGACATCACCAAGACGTGCACGGACGAGCACAACATCTCACGCTTCAGCGGCTCCTCCTGGATTAAACATGGCACTGAGTGCACTCTGTGCCAGTGCAAGGTAAAACCACAGGTGTAAAATAAAAAAAACATGAGAATCAGTTTAGTAAAGGACACTGACTTATATCTAAAAAATGCATTTCATCACAGCTCTTTTGAGTTACACAGCCGTCATTAACTGAATTGATAATAATAACAAGCCCCTCCCCCCATACAACTTAGATGCCAATTAAAAATAGTGAAAATTTACACTCACACTTTGCACAGTTTAATTTTTTAAGATTTTCTAAGATTTTCTGAATGGGCTACAATAAATATTTGGGAGTGTCAGAAATCAAAGAATTAGCTAGAATCATAAAAGAGATCAATTCTGTCATTTTGAATGGGCCACAATAAATATTTGGGAGTGTCAGAAATCCATTACAAGAGACAGAGTTAGTTAAATATCTTAAATTATTCAATATGAAATTGTTTAATACGTGGTATTTTGGTGACAGTGAACACAACACTCCACCACAATGGAGAGGTGAAAATCTTTCAGTTAAATTAGAGTTAATCCATGATGTGTGTATGACGCCACCTATTGTTAAACTCGACGGGTGTTAGAAATGCAACAGATAAGTTGCACCAGATCTAAGATGTGTGTTTGTGTGTGTTCAAGCTCTACACACACACATACACACACACACACACACAAGAAAAAATACTTAAGCTGCTTCTGGCTATTCACATGTTCACGGTGTGTAGAATCAGAATACATGGTACTTGTGTGTGTGTTTATAAAACACAGTACACACTGACTTCTGTGCAAAAACAATAGTTATTTATTTATATAATTTTACCAGTTTACTCACCTTATTTGCTGCTGACATTTTGGTTTCCACTGCACAAACCTGTTGGCAACCCCAGAGTTAACGTCCAGAGAATATTTTTAACAGGAAGTGCTGGACGTGTTACTGAGCTACATGTTCAGTAAAAGGTTAAAACCATGACAATAAATAACGTTGTTTCTTTGTTCTTTTCTCTTCTTTCCAGAACGGACACATCTGTTGCTCAGTGGACCCCATGTGCCTTTAGTCCCGACAGACCTAAAGGCACCTGTAAAGTCTTCTCCATGTAAAGAATTAAAAAAAAAAAGAAAAAATAGTGACACTATGTCCAACGTCTCCTTACGTCCCTCTTCACATCTGTGGGTCAACACCTATTTTTAGGATTTGATTTAACCTGCTCTGCTAATGGCTAATGGTGGATGATGTTTACTAATCACAAAAATCACAAATCAATGTCTTTATCGTCAATATCAGAACCTTCCGGCACTTTCCATCAGTTTGATTTCCAGACCCACTTCTGCTTCTTCACTGCTCTCTATACCAAATACTGACACCTATCAATCACACACACGCATACACACACACACACTCTATTTGTTCTATGTCACCACTGACAGTGAAACGTTTAAGGATCAGTTTTTCCTGCTTTAAGCCATTGCGACATGGATCTGTAAGATATTACTATTACTGGCATGACTGTGCTTGATGTCCAAACTCTTTCTTTGCTGATTTTTAAATTATTGATGATGATACATTAACGACAGGTATGGGCAGTTAGCATAAGGTTTGTTTTTTTGTTTTAATATTTATGAGTCGTCTATACTAATGTGGTGATTTGTAGAGTTTTGCTACATTCTCTTCTTTTTTTGTAAATTTACTTTACTTGCTTGTTGTTGTGTAACTGTGAAAATAAAGTATTTCTGTTTCCAATACTGTTGCCATTGGTTTCTATGAGGAATCTTAGAGAGATCCTGATATGATCAAGACGGTCTTTAGGTTAAAGTAAAACAATCACTACATCAGAATATGTGTGCGTCAATTTAAAGCAGAAAAATAATCGTTGAGCTTGAGTCGCTTTGGTGAAACAAAAATTCTGTTACTGCAGTGTCTGTTAATAACATCCATATTGACAGTCTATAAGAGCAATAAGTAGATAGATGGAAACAAGGTTCAATATTTTAATATATATATATAAATATATATAATATAATGTAATATTATATAATTACTGTATCTATGAGCTCATAGACAGACAAATGGGTTCAGTCTGGAAGTGACTTGACTGTATTTCCCCGTGGGGCTGTTTCCTACCAGCTGATTGGCCAGCTCTTCCTGGCAGCTGCTAACATCAACATGTAACGTAATCAGAGCCATTTACATTCAGCAGTGGTTCCTGTTCACTCTAACTTCTCTCAACTTCCAAAACTTTTTTTTGTTTTACACCTCAGGATTTTATGCCTTCACACTCATCCCTGGGTTGATGATTGAGGATGAGACATGGGCAGTAGACAGTGGTCAGCTCACAGTGGATGCTGGTAGGTTGAGAAGGGCACCATCTGTCCTGACTGCTCTGGTCCACTGACTTCTTCAGGAGCTGGCGATGGCATGAAGCCAGTGGGCACCTAAGTGATGGTAGCACAGCAGGACGGCCTCGTCCTCCAGCTGGCTTCTAAATGTCTAATTTTCCATGGCAGTGTTGAACCCTCTGCAACAGATGCCCAGACCCACGGGGAGTCCACTTCACTGCCTGTCCTTTATACATTGATAATGACCACACGGTTTATAGCAGTTGTTGTTTCTGTGAGGCAGGGCAGCATTGTCTTAGAGCTGAGAATCATGGTAAATCCTCTGTGATGTTTTCAGCGTTATCACCGCTCAGAACACAACAATCCAAATACCTTGTCAAGACACATCTTTCAGGTGTCTGTTGGTATTTCAGCCAATGAAATTGAACAATTTCAGGCACAAGGAGCAAGGGTATTTTTTTAAAGAAACAATAAAAACAAAATGGAATTTTGCAGCAGAATCTTTTCTTCACCATTCAAAGAGAACGTTCAGTAGTTACATGTAACTAATGAAGAATTCTACAACTACAGTTACAGATACAACAGTTTAACCTGCGGATATCACTCTCTGCAATTTGTGCACCCCAAAGACGGGTCAGTCCCTCGCTTTGGGAATCCCGGATCTATGCAGTTGAGATACTGGTGTGCTTTTCTCTGGCTGCTCTTGCAGAGGTCCACGTTTTTCTTCAAGACATTCATTTGGTTCTTGGATCAAAAATTATTATGAAAAAAATGATAAAAGTTAGAATTCCCTAAAAAGAGAAATAGTCAGTGAATCAGACATCATCACAAGACCAAGTCGGGTGCTGCAGTTGTCGGCTAAGTTCCTCTGTAATGGATCAGAACTCTGTAGAAAGAATTTACTGATAGAAGTTTCCCTCTGGAGACTCGAACCGTCTCGGACTACGTGAAGGGACTGAAGGTGAGGCAGAGAACCTGGCTGATACCGACGTCACAGATACTTCAACAGTTCTCCCAGAGTCACAGAGCTGTCAGTGCAGAGTGATGGGCCTGGCTGAGAGCTAATGCACTCATCTAATAGGCAGATGGCTCAAAGGATATGGAGGAGATTTCTGCTGATCTGAAGCTGTGGATGTTCCACTCTGGACCGTTATATATATATATATTTTGGGTGCAGAGCAGCAGCAGTTTCACTCACTGATATGGACTCACTCTGTTGATCCCTGATCCCTGGTGTGAAAAGTAAATGCCTCACAAACCGGCGCCACAAAAGTTTGTTTCAAACTGTTTAAATGTTGATTAAAGGCTAAGTGGAATCGATCCTGTTTAGTAGAACATTAAATTGAGGAAGAAGTCAATAGGACAGCATCACACCGCTGGCATGGCCAACTTTTTTTTTGAAACCTCATATTTGATGTGTTTTTTCAATTATTGCACCGTCTTCCCAGAATCAATATCTCATTTCTCAGCCCGGTGGCAGACCTGGAAGATGCTTCAGTCAAACAGCTGGCAGCAGGGCAGACTTTCAACATGAATCAACAGGAAGCAGCAACACCTCTGCTCGTCACGCCGCCACCTGATGTGTGCACTTTATTTAATTCTTACGCTACACTGAGCTGATGCTGTTCTCACTGATCAGTTACACAGAGCGCTAAACTTTTACAGAGCGGATAACCACTAACGTATGGTGGTTTTTTTTGCCCCCCTTTAAAAGCAAATGGTGATCTGCACTGTCAAGTTTAAAAAGACGGGTGTGTGAAATCAGTGTGACGCAGGGCGGCTGCCGGCGGCCCAAAAAGATTTTTTTTTTTTTACATGAAACCATAAAAAGTCACCACAGAATTTTAATCACTGTCCTGTTGACTGTATAAGTTTGCAAAGTGAAGAAAAAAACTGCAAAGTGTGTTCTTCAGTTTATTATACTGCCCCCTCTGGTCACTGCATGACTATTTTTCTAGATACTCCTCGGGCAGTTGGTGTCCACACTTTTTTGGCTTGATCTACCTGCATTGGTAATATTAATATCTATACATTTACTTAACTAAACCGAAATGTAACCGAAACCAGCTATACATTTACTCAACTAAACCGAAATGTAACCGAAACCAGTAAAAAAAAAGACACCACAAATAAATTCATATAAATTTCCAGCTGGGAAAGAAAAACAGATTCAGACAATTATTTTGAAAAAAAAATCAGGTTTTGTTTGGAGGAGTTAATTTTTCTTTGTTTTGTTATAAAAACCTAATAAAAAAACTGAGATTAAAAATATAGTCACTACATTTAGGTCGTTTAATCAAGTTTTGCTGCTTCTTCATTTGAGTTCAATTTCTGTGACTTGGCTTTTTTTAAGTCTGCATTAATTTCAAATACATTTGTAAAATCTGTCAAACAACAATTTTTTTTGCTTGTATATCTGTTGAATTAAGAAATCGGGCAGAGGTAAAAGGCAGAACAAATTCAAATGATCATCTCCTGTTATAAATCAAACAGTGGGGCTGTGGCACGGAGGACTCCGGGGTGCGCCGCGGATGCGGGCTTACATACTCAAGTGTCCTTGTGAAGACGGTTTCATTATTTCACATATCTCACATTAATTGGGTCAGCAGCTGCAAGGAGACTGACCTTATCTGTTGCCTGGCAACTATTTCCCAAGAATATAGAAAAACAATATTTTCACTCACAATTGTGAAATCAGCAACCAACCAGAGAATGTAATTAATGTAATAAATTTATTGGTTGAACAGCATCAACATCCGGCGAACAGAGGCCTCCTTCAGAACACACTTACACAGGAACCGGGAAGGTGTCGGCTTGGCCAAACAATATGACAAAAAAAAACAACAACACAAGCAACGACTCGTAACCCAGACAGAATATATCAGAAATGACACAGAACATTTAAAACATATTGCTCTCTGTTCAGATCCTGTGAGCTCCTGGCCTTTGGTCAAACACTAATTTTCAAACGTCCTCATTCAGCTGTAATGTATAAAAGGATAATTACTGAACTAAACACTGGAAAACAATTATGCTGAACAAATTGACCTCTTTACGCGATGGCCTTCGTCAGGAACAGAGTAGTAAACATTTCACAAGTGGCTCTCAAAGACACACACACTGAAATGCACGTTGCATATTAGAAGCCTCTGCCCCCAGCATACACACACACACACACACACACACACACACATAAACCTTCGTTTAAATCGATTGTAATTAGGTGGGTGCTTAACTATATCCAATTAATAAATCTGCATTAATTCACAGAGGCCATTTAGAGCTGGATCAAACTGATGTGTTTAGAAATCCATTTTCTTTTAAATGGTATCCAAACCTAATGTCTATTGAGTGTTACTTCTGTCAAGAAAACTATAGTATTGGTCGAAGACATGTAAACATTGTTACACATAAATACTGGACAAGTTCCTGTGACTTTGGACTGAGAGGTATAATGTTTGTAGAGATCAAATAAATGCTGCTGTCTTTGAATCAAAGTTACAACTTAAAAAAAAAAAACAAGCCGCAGATGAGGACCTTTCTGGGTTTAAGCACCGGGGCTCAAAAAACAAAGATTTAAGTTATTGGTTCAAGGCCCCTCCATGACTTGTGGGGGCCTTGATATGAACAAAGTTTGACTGAAAATTCAGCTAGAACGGGAAAATGCAAAATAAGACGTAATCAAGTAATATTTATTATTTACAAAAAAATATACAGGTGGCAGTGTTGCAACTCGAACAACGCCAAGTTGTCGTCGAAACACAAAGAACAAGACGTGGCCGGGGATTTTACCTATTTACTAAAGGGTTTTCTGCAGAAAATTTGGAAACCACTGCACCAAAATGTGTTACTTTTCTGCTGATAAACTTGGATTTTGTGGTGGGATCACTTTTGTATTCATGTTTTCAACATAGAGCCGAGACAGGAGCCTGGGGGATTGTGGGGGGTGAAGGGGGGGGGGGATATTTGTCTTTAGAAATAAAGAGCTGCTGTTAGCTAACATTCTAGGTCACAACTCCATCAGGATAACGTGCACAAGGAGGCGCTGTGGCCCAGTCAGTGGAGTCTGCAGCTCTAGTTTGTGATGCAAAAGCAGTTTATACACTGATCTGATTAGTTAATAATAATAATAATAATAATGTAGATACAGTTGGCATATATTTGTGTACATGCTTTAAATACTATTTAGTTTGGCATCTTTGGTTACGAACATACCTATTACATCCTCCTTTATACTGTACATGATCCACTTGCAAGTTATAGTTAGTACTTTAGTATTTTGGTCAGTACTTGAAAAAAAAGTTAAGCACAAAACTTTGGAAACAAACTTGTTATATTCTGATTTAATTTATCGTAATGATAAGAAACAGAAAACTAAAAAAAATTCTTCTTTGAAAATTAAGGAGGATAAAAACTTCAAGTTTGCTTAGCTGTGCCACTACCTTTTGTTGAATTTTTTATTTTTTTTTTTTGGACTGTGGGATGTTTCACATATTTTGCTGATTATGTGCTCTCCTTGGCGACAAAATTCTTTCTCGAACTTTCAACAAGTTTTATCCAGACAAAGAAGACCGTCGCTTTGAAAGACAAGCTTCTTCAGGCCTTGGTTTTTTTTTTACAAGGACAAAACCACCTTACCCACTGTGTTGGTATTCAGTCTGACTGCAGGAGCAGCACACGCAGTAATGAGGTGGCAGCTTGATTTGGGGCTTCGTCGCAACTGATTGTTTTCATCATCTCCGCAGCTAATTTCATGAGAGGGCGTATAAACAGATCATCAAAATAAAATGACGCTCAAAGCAATCATAAGGTTTCAATTAGAATTAAATAGTGTATGAAAATCAAATGAAAGACGTCCAAAGATAACAATTAAAAAAACATTCAGTGATATGAGAGTGAGTATATAAGAAGAGCGTACGTCAAACGTTTACATAGAGAAGAACGAGGACTTCATTCACTGGTGACACTGACATGACACGTCTGTCGGTTTCTCCATGTATGGAATTTAAAGGCACGGCTGAATCTGTAGCGCTGACATCGACTCCTCTGATTTATTAAAGTTGAAATATGAAAATGCAAAAGTGAAGCCAGCACCATGTTGTTTGCAAACAGTACTTCAAAGATGAGATCCTCTTGAAGATGGGAGCAGATTCTTAAGGTTTTTTGTAATAGTTTGTTTAGAAAAATAGAAGAATACAAAAGCAGCGGTCGCCGAATTCCTTCATCCATCATCCTTCGTTTGGATCTCCCTGTGTTCTCTCTATCTGTGTCCTCCATCTGCAGCAGTTTGTTCTTTGAAGGAAATAAAAGCATATTGATCGCTTCAAGGCCGTCTGCGGTCACATGGTTCAAAGTCCCAGAAGTTCACAAGGTCATGGAGAGAGTTTGTGGACATCAAAAGAGACTGCCGGTTCCTCCTGCGCTGCGCTGTCGATCATGATGTTAGGATATGTCTCCTGGGTTTCCGTGGAAACCGGGGAGTTTGTGGAAGGGGTGGCTCCGAAATGTGGCCCGTCCACTGACAGGAGCATGGGCGTCCCCGACTGTTTCAAGCCGTCACTCAGTGTCACAAAAGACTCTTCCGGCGTCACGGCCATGTCCGACGGCGACTTCCTCTTGATCCTCTCGTAAGACTTGTCTGGATTCTCCGTGATGGTCTCGCTGTCCTGGAAACGACCAAACAGCCAGATGAAGAAGCCGAAAAGGACAAACGCTGCGAGACTTGGGATGAAGGCCAGACACTTGACGTCCAGGCTTGACCCCACATAGCGGCTGTGGAGGAACATGTCGTGCTCCAAGTAGCTGAGGTTGGTGGCAGGATTGATATTAGTGGAGCGCCACTCGTAGGTGAGCGTGCTGTGGTTGAAGTTCCTGAGTGTTTCTGGCTCCTCCACGGTGTAGATTTTCTCCCCAGGCCCCACATACTGACCGTATTCATAGGGTTTGTAGAAGATCTGGTTCTTCCACATGTTGAGATCCAAAATCAACACCAGGAAGATGATCCCGTAGTTGAACCACTTACCTGTAAGGAGACACGTGACTGTTATTAGGACCACATATCAGGCTGTGGCAGGCACGCAGAGACTGAATAAACAGAATGTGAGGAGATAATTTAACCGTCAGATTTGATGGATTACATAAACCCGATCCAGTCGGTGTTCAGAGGGCAGACAGGCAGGTACGCCGTCACACTCATTTATCAGGAGCCCTATTCCCTTTTTTGCATATGAACTCATACAGGAAGACAGATCTATTTGCACCTACTTTCTCTGCGCTCTTTTCTAACGAGATGACTACATTACCATGAGACAGTCATCTCCTCAGGTTGACTGACTGCCGGCAGATGTCTCCCTGGGAATACGTGACACCGCTCTCCTTCTCCAGATACGCCGTTAATAAGCTCTTAGTTAAACCAATCACGTTGCAATGGATCCATTTCCATAAAGCTTAATGGATATGCGATGAATTAGGGTTAACAACCTTGAGCGAATCACCCAGCGTTTGAACAGCTTAACATTTAGAACGGGAACATTGGTTTTTCGCCTTCCTTGACGGCGTGCGGCAGGGGGAAAAAAAAGTGAAGTGGGACGGTTTGGGAGGGAAACGTTCTCACTGACTGAGAACATTGACACAGATGAGAAAGACGAAGAAAGATGTGACTGGCATGCAAGACGGGGAGAAGTGGAACAGGCGGGAAAAAAGGGAACATTTCAGTGGTGCCGGCACCTGTGTGCCAATTCAGCAGCACATCCATAATTAATACCAACCACTCAACAGAGAAAACTGGGAAATTAGACCAACCACAGCACATTCTTGTTTCAGAAACAGGTTAAATCCAGTCTCCTGGACGTTTTCAGCTCTTTCTGTTCTTTAATCAGTTTGGGAACAGAGGCGTGGGAAAGGTGGATGTGCTGTTCCTCCGCGGGAGTCTTACCCGTGATGTGAATGTGATACTCGTCTTTGAAGATGCTCTTGCAGACGGGGAGCTTGACCTTTACGTGTGTCGTCGACATACCAGGTAAATTCATATCCAGGTCACCCATGAAATGAGGAAACTCCCAGTCCTGAAAAACAAATGTGACACACGGGGGAGGGAGAGAGATGCAGAGATTAGGCTGACAGCAGCCACAGCCCGGCCTCAGCTGGATGCTGGATTCTGATCCGTTCAATGAAGTCTCTGTACTGGCTGATATTAAATCTCAGCGGAGGCTCCTCACACAAGGACTGGAGGTCAAACATGGTGCCAGCTGTTGTAGACAGCGAGACTAACTGGGTTTACAGGCTTGTGGATTGTACCGCTGCGCGCTGAGATTTAAACACGTCAAAACACATCAACGGACGCACTAAACCCACAATGTCAAGCTGTCCGAGCCCCAGTGTGTCATTTAGCTCCTTTGTCAAGGTTGTGGTTATGGCTAGGAAAAAGGAATCAGTGCTAAGGCTGGAGGAAATAAACACTAAAACTGAAAAGTAGTTTTTACCGTTAAGGGAAAACGAAAAGAAAAACTATAAGATGTAAGGGGATTTTACTTTATATTTCTATCAAATAATTATTTTATTTTGGTTTTTTTTTTCAGTCAAAAATAAGCGCTCTTTGTGTTTTCTATCATGAGGGTTTGTCATGTATGTCATATATGTAGACATATATGTATACGTTTGTATGTGTTTATATGTTTATATAGACGTAGAAACAGCATTGCAGTGATGCTTTAATGATGATAAAAAAAGATGCCTGACCTAATGTAATATTTCTAAACATTTACATCGACCGTTAGCTTCAACACCGAGGGTCTTAACATACGATGCTAACTACAGAATTGGTATAGTATATCCTCATGTGAACGACACTGTCCCACATTATCATGTAAGACCACAATAACAGCTTGTTGATGGCTCTCTGGATATTAATTAGGACGTTCTCGTCGGTTCCACAGCTATCTGTTGCTATAGCACCGCCAGGGATGGCATTCAAGCCAGACAACTCCCTTCAGGAAAACAACCAGTCTCTGGAACACAGTTTGCAAAAAAATACCTGGAAGTCAGAATGTAAATATGTATGGTAGTGATTGTCCTGTAGGGGGGGCATGAGGGGAAGTAACACTACACAAAAAACCTTCAAATCACGGAGGAAAATGCAGATTATTAATATGAGACTTAATTAGAAGGAGATCAACAACCACCGCTTTTTCTCATGATTGTAAGACATTACCATGTCACCGTGTGGTCCACGGTGGAAATGTGTAAAGCTGCTGGAAGGGCTGGATGATGTTTTTTTATGGACTGGGGAACAGTAGTGCGGTCCGCCAGTGCTCAGGCTCCGTGACGGCGGAAGTTAACGTGACTCATAAATAACTGCAGTAAATGTTCTTGCTGTACACTGTGCTGAAAATGAGAAGAGCCCTGTCATAAACAGATCCAGTCAGTGCGCGGCCGGGGGAATGATATACCACAGAGTTCAAGGGAAAAGCAGCGGGAGGTCTGGCCGGGGCTCGGCGGTGTCAAACGGAGATGTCAAAACAGGTTTTTCATTTTAGGCCCAATCTGTGGCTGCAAATGTGGAGATGAGGTGAGAAAAAAAGAAAAGAAAGAAAGTTGAGCAATAAAAAAAAGAAATGTGTCTAGAGCCTAACAATAATTGAGTAAATGAACGCGGGCGTATCACCAGAGTTTGCAGAACAATTCTCAAAATAGCAAATAGTTCCAATAAATAAGCCTCAAACTCAGTTTCCCTGATACAATTGTGCTAATACGTACAGTATTATGTAATAATGGTGACATAATTGGCCAGTTTTTGTGGAGTGCCGTATTTGTAAGACTCAAAAATGTTCTCAAGCAACCGCAGCCTCATTAGCATAATAATAAAACAGGGAATAAAGACTCAATGTAAGCCTTACAGGAAGGCGTCTTAATGCCACCTTTCACTGTAATGAAATGCCTGAATTCAGCATGTAAAAGAGCCGACCTGGGATAAATGAAGCTCGAAGCCGTGCACATGCATGTTTGGCCTGATGCTCTTGGAGTGAGGATCCATTTCCTCACTCCATTTCTCCTCATACTCAGCCACGTGTTATTTTTCTGCCCAGACAAACACATCTCCATATTCATGAGCCACGGACACAGACTTTATTGATGTACGTTCTCTGGTGTGGGGAAGGACAGTGGGAGAGAGAGGAGAAAAGAAAAGACAAAGTGAGAAAAACTCTTCTCTTATGAGTCATCATTAAAAGACAGACTAGGTTCACAAGGAGAGGAGAGAGGGTGGGACTGTTGACAAAATCTGGGAACGACGAGGGAAAAGGACCGGACGCGACTGAAAGAGTGAACCGCAGGAGTTTGTTGAAGTGAATATGAGTGTGTGTCGGTGTGTGTGTTTGTGTCCACGCCAGCCGAGAATGATCAAAAACCTTTCGCAACGCTTTGTGCCGCAGCGCACCATTGATGAATAGGATTTAGGTGGAGGGTGGGGGGGCTGAAGTGGGTAGCAGCGTAAGCCAGGAAAGGCGCCCCCCTCCCCCCCACACTTCTTTTTTGTTTTAATTGGCCACAGGAGAGAACATACCTGCATGATGATGAGGAGGTCGAAGACCAAGATGAAGGAGGCCAGAAATGCTCTGGAGACCTCATCGCTGGGCAGAAAGCCCCGGTTTAGGTGGTCCCAGCTGATCCAGTCGGTACTGATGACCAGAACCACCACTGACGTAAGAGAGATCAGCACAGCCCTGTAGGAGGGGTGGAGGAGACAGAGGTCCAAGGTGAGGGGGAGTGATAAGAAGATAGATTATGGAAGAGAAAAGAAGAGACAACCCCCCAAAAACGCAATGTAAAATACTTGAATTTTACAATTAAATTACAGCTGAGGTTCAGTCTATGAAGCTTGGAAGACAAACAACCCACAGCAGCCAATTATAAGGGGAGATAAATCAAGCTGTATCCAGTTTCTGTTTTCACCCACCCTTTGTATCGGACAACAATTTTACCTGGATTTGAAAAACGGCAGCCGACAAATCCTTCAGGAAGATGAAGGAGCGGCGAGGAAACGCTCTCGTTTGTGGATACAGAGACAATGTGATTTAAAACGGCAACTGCAAACACATTTCCATTCCCAGGTATTTTCATATTCAACCGCAGCCAAAACATTTCATTTTCCTGCAGTGCAGTGAATCCCGTTTCCCACGATGCAAATTGTTTGTCTTTTATTCAATAGGATAGGATTCACTGTGGATTGTGCCTTTTTTCAGTCATTGCTGTTGTGTTGCCTTCTCACAACAGTTGACTGGGAGATAGAAACTGCACATTTGTTAGAAAGGGACGATTTTTTTTTCCTTCTGTTTAATTATTGCTCATTCTTTCCAGGCTAATCAATCACATTTCAAGCTCAGAGATTTAAATGATGGCTCTAAATCCAGCACTGACAACGTCCTCGAGGGGGAAACCGACATGAAAAGAAAAATGTAGAAAACCCTCCTTCATTAGAATAGCTGTCAAAGAAGGGTTGGAAAATTCTACAAAAGGAAACGTTGAACTCCATTGTCAAAAATATCCATGTGTGGAGCATCTTTCATCGCCTTCATCTATATTTTACCCTGAAAATGGAAAGGACATTTGCATGACTGGCAGAGCTGAGGATGAACACGAGTAAAACCAAGCAGCACTGACGTAGTGTGTGTGTTTTTTTTTTTTTAAGCGTACAATCCTACTTTGCGTTTCTATCGGTGGCCTTATCAGACGTGGTTTGCAGCAGTTGTTTAGCAGTTATTAAAGGGTCGCACTCTGTGGTAAGAGACTATGGGCGGGGGGGGGGGATTTTTCACCCTGTTCTTCTAATTAAAGGTGCTGACACTGAGTGAGAGAAGATTAACACGGCTATTGACCGAGTGAAGCTCTGAAAGGGGCTGAAGGACCCCTTAACACACACACACACACACACATATACATATGTTTATAAACTGACACAGTTTTTATCCCAGCACTTTAGGCCATGAACAACAAATCTGGTGGGAGTTGATAGTCTTTATGTTTAGAGTTTGCATTTTCTTCCCGTGTGTTTTTTAATTTTTTTTTGAGTTCTCTGGTTTCCTCCCTCAGTTCAAAAACATGCATTTTTAGGTCAACTGTCACTCTTAATTGACCATCGGTGTGAATGTGAGCATGAATGGTCTCACCAAGGACTTATGGGATTGGCTCCAACCGACCTGTGAAGGGATTGAATTTAATCTGTTTACAAATGCACACAAACAAAATTAATCTATTGACTTAGTAGTAAAAAAGTGTAAAGGAGCAGTCCCAAAAGTTAAAGCTTCAAATGGCAGTAATATTGTGTTACGAGGGCTATAATAGAATCATGTATTTGTGTATAAATATTAGGTTAGGCAAAATTATACAAAATATTCCTAAAGAGGACAGAAAATGTCCAAATGAGAAAACAAAGTGGCGTTAGAAGTCAACTTTTCATTGTTAAAGGAGTTTAAAAAAGACAATGACATTTGACATTGTTTTGCTGTTAGCAAGAACAGTGAAAGAATGAAAACAACAACTCTAGTCTGACATGTGAAATTACTTCTTTTTTTTTTTAAATAAAGCCTATTTGTCCTGTTAGTCACAGACATCATTACCTACTGCTACCAGAGACAGACAGTTAGATGTGTTGGCCACAAATATTTTAGTTTGAATTCACAGGAATCCGATGCCTAACACCCACAGTTTGCCGACCTGTGAAAGCCTCGTCTCTGAAATAACATCACCAACAGGGAGACTCCTACCAGAAGAGAACAATCCTGTTGTTCCCTTGTTTCCAGAATCTTCTGGCTGCTTTGCCCCAGTCTGGATAGTTCTGATCCTGAAGCATCATGTCTGTCACCTGTGGAAACGGATGACGGTTAGACGTAGACAAAAATGAAATTTTATCTTTGCGGCGACAACAGTTCGTCTGGCCTCATCTGACACTTTTGGAGTGATACATATCAGTGACCGACTCCACTGATGCCTCAGGGACTGATAGGAAGTAGATGATAAACATGTACTTCCACAACATCAGACAGAAAAAAAATGACAAAATCAATGAGTTATTAATATAAATGTGTCTTTTTAATCAAATTAAATTTTATTATTTTCATAGATACAGGGAGTGTTGAGACAGAAACAGTAAAATCGTTCACCCTGCACTGCTCTGTGGTTAAGTGGATTTTAAATTTATATCTTTTCAAATAAACCTGATGTTTTAATAGGGCTGGCAGGGTGTTAAATGCTTTAATTGATTTGTGAAATTAATTAGATTAAAATATGTTAAAGCTCAGCTTGTGCCACTGAACAGCTGACAAACTGTAGATTGATTCAACTTTTTGAGGACAGCTGCTTTACAGCAACTCTCGACAGACAGCAACGACACCGGACACTCTGTTTCAGAATTATGTAAAGAAAAGGTTAGGTTTTCAGGAATGTTGATTTATGTCAATTAATTTAAAGATAGATTCTAGAGTTGAGAATATTTTTTAAAGGAACAAAAATTCCAATTCCAGACAGTTTTCTAAGGCAAATGCAGAATCAAGGTGCCGGGTCAATGCCTAACTGCAGGAAATAATAGCTTGTATTGGAAATATATAGTGAATATGGAAATGTATGAGACGTTTCCGACTCTGCGGCATCACAGAGCAGGATCTGTCCACTCAGCGAGTGAAGACATGGTTTAAATCTGCGGAGCCTCAGGAGACAGAGGTCGTTTTCAAGTGCTTTGTTGAATTAATCAAAGTGTAAAAAGCCTGTGATTAATTTCTGGAATCAGCACTCTGTCAGAGCCTCACTCTCTGTCTTGGACATCCTCACAGACACTTGCACCTTTTAAAAAGACTTCCACATTTCCTTTTCCCCTTCACCCCTGTTTCTTCACCCACCCCTGTTTCTTCACCCACCCCTGTCTCACCCACCCACCCCCTCTCTTTGTAGTCTGTACTGTTGAATACTAATGTGACCTGGTGAAGGAGCTTGTCAAATTCTCTCTCTGCTGTGCATGCCAATGTCAGAGCCCCAGTGCTCCCAGTACAGGTATTCCAAATCCACTAGGGATTGTTCCATTTCTCCTCATGTTGACAAATGAACGAACAAAGGTGCAGGGTTTTTTTTTTGTTGCTGTTCTTTTACCCCCAACATTCCCTGCCCCTCTCGACACAACCATTGTTTCCCCTGACCCTCTATACATCACATCCTGATGTTGCCCTAAGGATTTGGAGGCAGATTGAACTGGGCTGCTGAGAGCAGTAACGATAGGAGGGATTCACTGACCTAGATATTAGATAAGAGAAGGTCTTCAATCATAGATACGACCGTAATAGACTTGACATGTGAGAACATCGGCAGATGAAAACACACCTGCACTTGGTTTTTATATATATATATATAAAAACAGGAACCATGTTCTCATTCATCTGACTGTGATGCTCAACTGTGGTTTAAAAATTGGGTGAGAATAATTTTTCATTAGTGGAGAAAGATCAGATAGCTGTGAGGTGACGGTCATATGGTTTAAAAATTAAAAGTTCAAAATATTGCCCTGATGACAACACCTAAAGTAGTGTGGGTTAACGAGGAAGGGTCTACTGTGAGGTGGTGGTCCTAGCCTGAGGCGCAAAGTCACCTACATAATAAATAAATAAATAGGCACATGCAGTGGTTACATAATACTATGATACTTAGTCATAAATGAAAACTCAAGACAAAAACACAATTTGGAAGAAAATAGGATTTAACTCATTCATAAACTAACAATATGTGTATATACTGTACCTGCTGTTATCTGTTCTGTACCGGCAGAACAAATGTTTCAGATTAAAAAATAAATACAGTATGACAGCTCTAACTACAGAGGTATAACATCATGGTATATGAGACACAAAATGTCAAAGCACAGTATTTTACAGGAAGTACAATTAGATACATATATCATGCCTCATAATTTGATGGCCCCAATTTAGTGATGTGCAATTCATACAATGGATTTTAAATGGCTTTAAAATAAGAATAAAATTCATAAAAATGTATTTTAATTTGGGAAAAGTACTGTTAAATACAAACAAAGTCCTGAAGGAAAACAGAAAGTAAAAATGCATCTGTACAACCAATAAATGACAAAAGACAAGTCAGTAAGTATAAAAAAATAAATATTACATATATCTTACACCTGCAGAATCAACTACATGACATACCATAGGCCTTCCATTGAAACATTATTGTTTGATGTGAAACTGCAAACTTTGACACAACACAGCGGGGTCTCACCATCCACGCAGTGACGAAGTCTCCCATCCACGTCCCGACAGCGGCAATCTTCATAAAACTCTCGTTCCTGATGCCCATGTACTCTGTCACCATGTGAGGCCTGGACGGAAAGAAGACCAGAAGTGACAAGGACATAAAATATCCATGGTGAAAGTCATAAGTCGAGTAAGGGCCGAGGGAGTAGGAGAAGGGAACGAGGGCAGCAGTGAGGGAGTCACTGCGAGGAGGAAGGAGAAAGATATCATGATGCGACGTGTCAGAGTCAATCAATATCAATCTAATCCTGTGAAAACAATGAGCGATGGCTGGGCTTTCAAGAAGCTCCGAGGATTGCGAACAATTTGCAACAGCGCAATGGAATTTATGCAGCGTCGGCCTTTTCATTCCGTCCTGCTGCGTTTGGCAAATTATCCATTTGTTTGGCAAATTTGTCTCATGTCTAGTTGATTTTAAATCAAAAGGGCCGAGCCGTCGAGGGCTTCTCCTGTTGGAGCGTGGGTTCTGAGGGAGCTCACCTGATTTCCTGTGCAGAATCAGGAAGGATTGATTAATAAAATAAAATAAAATAAAACACACAATAGTATGTAATAAGAAAAGACATGGTTTCTCTGCAGCGTTTGCTCTGTGCTCTCATGTCTGTACAGTAGGGAAAAGAGAGAGCTTTTGTTCTGTCCCACAAACTAAACAACTCAACACACACACACACTCACGCAGCATCCCTCCATTTTCTCCAGGTAATAGCTCATGGAGGGAGGGAAAAGTGGGTCACTCGCCTCCTATATGGGACTGGAGCTGTGGAGGCAATAACAGAGCAGAGGGGGACGTGGAGGCCTGTTTGATCTCCTGGCAGCAAGTGTCAGTGGAGCAGGTGGGTGTGCCCCCCTCACCCCATCCCCCATCCCACAGGTCACACTCATGAATATAATAGATGGCGCTGGGCAGGGCTGTGGCTGTGCTTTCAAGGGGTTGTATTTGAAGTCAATGGCTCCATATATCTTTGTTTTCCGTTGGTAATTTCTGGCCAATAGCAAACAACAATAAAAATGTCCTCCGTTGCACTCAGTGCTCTGCTGAGTCTCCCCGTGTGTTGCTACACATTTATATTCCATTTGAATTAAAGTTGTTTTTTTTTTCATCTTGGAATGGACTGCATTATGAGGTCCATTTGGCGAGCTCCTCCAAAAACATGAGGAGTAATCCTTTTAGGCTGTTAGTTAATGTAGCTCCTGTTTTGTCTTTGTGTAATGAGTTCAGGGCAAACAATTAATAACGAAGCAAAATGATTCATTTTGGTCTCACTTTAATCAAATATCAGACCTCTTTCATTAACTATTAATGGAATTGTCCTAGAAATATGAGAGGAATTAAAACAAAAATTAAGACAAAAATGTATCCAAATTATCATTGGACCACTAACAGATTTGCCCACCTTCAAAATTAATTAATATTAAAGCAAACCTTTTTTTTTATCTAATCTTGGATTGAAACCTGTGAAGTCTGTTTGTTCCCTGGTCCTGCTGTCTGCTCTGTGGTGTAATCAGTGTCATCACACTCACCTGTGTCTCTGTCATTAGTCTCACTGGTATCACCTGGTGCCCTTGTATATATACCTCTCTCCTCACTCTGTCCTGGTTGGCTCAATGTGCTGTTGTGTTCTGTGTGTGGTCGTTCCTAGTTGGTCATGTTTTGAAGAAGTCTATACCTTGTAGTTTATGTTTTGCTGAAGTCAATGCCTGGTAGTTTTTTTGTTTTGTTTTTGTTTTTACCTTGTTCTGTGTTGTTAATTCACACTTTGTTCATAAACAGTTTGTTTTTACCTTGTTCTGTTTTGTTAATTCACACTTTGTTCATAAACAAAGTATCAGATTTGGGTCCTGCCTGCTACCATGGTCAATCATTCCACACTGTGGTCTACCGCTACCTGTTTTTTTCCTTTTTGTTTGGTTGTTTTTGTATTTCTTAACAAAAGAACATTTTAAAAACATGATTTTGGTCAAAAAAGCAGGTTCTGACACCCCCCAGAATTCTACAAAAGAAAGAATACTTTTCTTTCAGACTTAAGTGGAGGTTGGCTCAAGGAAAAAAAGCTTTATTCTCCATAAAGTTTTACACTTTCTTTTTTTCTGAATTTGTCCTCAAACTTTTTGACCCTGCCTTGAATGAAACAATAGGAAAATGTTCGTAACGATGCCGTCAATGCGGGCCGTGTTAAACTGCTTTGACAGATCTTATTGATGGAAAAAAACAAGTACTGCAGTTGACGTACTGCCTCACTCATAGCCACAAATAAAATGGCCTTGATTAGAATAGCGATTTATATCTGCATTAAGTCAGTTAGACATTCAGTGGACGGGCAGTGCTCCAGTTACCAAGGAGATCCCGTTGGGAGTCATTTACCCTCTAAATTCAGATCGATACTTCTGGAAATGCTGTCTGGCTCCACACGCTGGGCTTTAAATCTAAATAACAAAAAAAAGGCTCCACTGCAATCCACTGCCCTTCTCACCAGATTTAATTGAGCATTTTTTTCTCCTGTGGTCGAGAGGAGAACCTGCAGTATGATGAGTTTGGAGACTCCTCGTAATGCTTGATTACAGGCACAAATCACTGACTTACTCATGCTGAGTGAAAATTTGATGGCCTTCAGAGGCGGATGACCTAATGACGGAGTTCAGCGCGGTGGAACATCGGTACAGTAACACTGTGAATAATCAGCCCCAAAATGGCTCCCGCGGCTAAATCGTAGATTTAGCCACCAGTAGCAGTGTTGGTGCCAGGCAGCCGACTGGAGCCAGCTCCAACCCTCTGAGGAATGTTATCAGGTTTTCCACACTTGTTCAGACATAATATTCAATGACATTTAAATGCCTTTCATAGTCCTGTTCTATCACTTCCAGGAAATTACAATTTTGCGCCACAGAGGTTACAAAGTTTTAGACATTTAAGTTTTGGACCCAACTCTGGTTTCAGACAAAACATGGGGACAAAAAGCAATTTAACTGCTGCATCGACGGCGTCACTGAGAGAATCTCATAATTCTTCCATTTATATTCACTCCAGTCACTCGGCTCTCACTGCTTTTCGGTCATAAAATGGATGATCTACTCT